CCCTTGAGGCTCACTTTTAACGCGGCGGGGCCTCCTAGCAGTAGTAGTAGTAGTAGTAGTAAGAAGCAGTAAGTAGTAGTAGTAGTAGTAGTAGTAGTAGTAGTAGTAGCAGTAGTTGTTGTTGTTGTAGTCGGAGGACGAGGAGGAGGAGGGGTACTAGTAAAGTAGTGCTAAAGTATGATGATGTCGATAGTAGCAGGAACAGCAGCAGCGATAGTAATTAGGAGGATTAGGAGGCTACAGCGCCCTTTGTCTCACATGCTGCGGCTTTGTGCTGCAGGACATGTTGAACGGCTTCATGTACTGTAGCTTTCCGCATCGTGACATTTTGCACATGACTGGACGCAATGGCTCCCAGGACGTCTTCTGACTTGCGCATCCATAACCAGAGCATCCATCTGCGAACCTTTCTAATGCCCATCCTGAAGCCAACATGTTGACATGAACTCATGAGGCACGCAGCTAATGGGCTGACAGGTGTACTTGTCTTCATCATGCACATTCGATCCCGGCTCTTTGGAAAAGATAGCACTCCCAGAACATCATGATGCAAATCCTGAAGTTAGGTAACCGCCATACCCGAAACTAGAAACCGTCTCTCTGTTGTCGAGTTGAGGCCTCCAGGGCGGAAAACGCGACACATCAACTTTGCTCCGTGATCCTCTCAGGGACAGGAGGGAGCATCAGGATCCCATGGTTGGCTTTAGGGCCAGAAATCTCGAAGCCTCTGCGGCATGCTGACTGATTTAGCATCTTCTAAGTCAGAAGTGCCAAGTTGGCAAGCAAAGACTGTCAGAGGCCAAGCCTTGAAGCAAGTCGTGCGGAATTCGAATGCCTGCACCCAGCGCTCCCCCCAGTGTGTAATATCCTGCAAGAGAATAGGGTCCGCCATCCTTATGACCGTCGGAAGGCTAAGAAAAGCACTCAGAGCTGCTTAAGAAGGTAGAACCAATGTAGCTGTAGCCATTGCGACCTTGCGAATGCAGCGCATAACTGCTTTAGTAGATGTCAGGGCAAATGCCTAGTTGGGTGTAAACAATGGCAACTCTAGAGTCAATTCAGCATACCCCACAAAACAAGCATTCAGCAAAGCAACCACGTGCCTCGCGCCACATTGCTTCTAAGGACCGCGAACATGGCTATAGGAGCGTGGAGATCATGTTCGCTCAGTAGCAGTGGCAAACACATAGCAACATCCATAGCACTGCAGTGCGCAGACTCTTGAACACCACTGTGAGCCCTAAACCCTAAACCCGAAACCCTTAACCATCATGTGGCGTGGCACCGACAACCAGAGTGGGCTCAAAGGAAAATCTGACAAATCAACTATGGAGCGACTAACTTGAGAACAATACGAACGAAAGCTAGTACCCTCCTGAAATAATGGAAAAGAAAATGGAAACTACTATAGTATATTGGGGTTATATAGGGAATATAGTAAAATAGGGTAAAATCGGGTATGAATGAGGGTATATATTGGAATAATGGAAAAGAAAATGGAAACTACTATAGTATATTGGGGTTATAGGGAATATAGTAAAATAGCGTATCAATTAGGGTACATATTGGGATAATGGAAAAGAAAATGGAAACTACTATAGTATATTGGGGTTATATGGGGAATATAGTGAAATAGGGTAAAATAGGGTATGAATTGGGATAGTGGAAAAGAAAATGGAAGCTACTATAGTATATTCGGGTTCTATAGGGAATATAGTAAAATAGGGTAAAATAAGGTATGAATTAGGGTATATATTGGGATAATGGAAAAGAAAATGGAAACTACTATAGCATACTGGGGTTATATAGGGAATATGGTAAAATAGGGTATGAATGAGGGTATACATCGGGATAATGGAAAAGAAAATGGAAACTACTATAGTATATTGGGGTTATGTAGGGAATATAGTAAAATAGCGTATCAATTAGGGTACATATTGGGATAATGGAAAAGAAAATGGAAACTACTATAGTATATATTGGGGTTATATAGGGAATATAGTAAAATATGGTAAAATAGGGTATGAATGAGCGTATATATTGGGATAATGGAAAAGAAAATGGAAACTACGATTAATTAAAAGAACACTTGCAGCATCTCCGGCCATGACACGAAGCTCTTGCTCTGGCTGCACAACTCTCATTGCTTCCAACGATTGCGCAACGATTCCCTCTCATCCTGAGGAACAATCAACGCTAGCCAGTGAGAAAATGTGGGGGGATATCAATTGAAGAAGTTACATGGAGGCTTCTGTAATTTCAAATAAGACATTCACTGTCTGACTAGGCATTGAATGAAAAACCTATGTGCAGTTAGATCTCTCTGTTGTTACCAACTCTGCACCAACCATTTCTGTCTAAACCTGATACAAACACACTACAGATTCTCATGTTTGTCATGCTTATTGTCTGTTGTATAACCGCGTGAAGTCAACCCTAATCAAACAGGTATGATTCTTTTAGGGACCCCTGCTCCCATATGACACTCCCATAATTCATTCTGAAGACCCCCTATTTGGAAATGGCCTTGTCCCTTCAAACCTATTTTCAGATTTTAGGCCTGCATATTTCCCCAATGACAATACAACTGAACCCCAGAAACTGAACTGCAATGGCATCAGAAACTAGACGACATGCCTCTAAATTAGCTCCAGGATTTGAATCCCGAAGATCTCTCCAATGACGACACCACTGAACCCTTGAAACCAAGCCCTAAGAATGGCATGACTGCTTCATGGCTTGTCAGTAACAGAAAAAGGATTGCACCTTGCAGAATTTGTCTGGCTATCAGGCGGATGAAGTTTGCCGACATTTCAAGCATTTCAGGCAGGGGCCCCACCACGCGCAGACCTCTAAGTCTCTCAAATGTCAAACCAGACGGTCTAAAAAGCTCTCCGAAACCCAACGACCAATAGGTGGTAAACTATGTCATTCCCCTAACAGTAACGGTTCCTACAATAGATAACAGGCATTCCAAGAGCCACTTAATGAAACCCCTTCGAAGACAGTTCCTGTAAGGAGGAATGACTCAAGTGGTAAAGAAGAACTCACAAAAAGCTCACACAATGATCTTCAGTCATTTTCTGTGCTCACCGGCATAAGTCAGGGACGACAACTTCACGTTGCACCGGCCGGGGGAAAGTGTGTCAGGTCAAGAAACCAATGGCAAGTCGAGAAACCAATTCTACCCTCCCCAAACTAACAGGAGCTATAGTCTCAACTCCTAGTATCCCCCTTAATATCCCCTATAGTACTCCCCTAAGTCATCCCCTACATAACCACCCTTTAAGGAGTTTAGACCATAGCTCACATGGAAGACCTTAGCAGCGCCATTTCTTTAAGGACAGTAGTCTACAAAGGGCCCTTTGCAGGCTCCATGTTAGTATGGGGTAGGGTACTTCCCGCCAATCCTTCCAGCGGAGTGAGACCATCAGTAAAATAAGGGGAACCCTATATAGACACCAATATATTATAATCATCATTTTGGGAACCTTCAAAAAATGCACCCTAATTTTGGGAAACCCTAAACCCTCAACCCTAAACCGTGATAGGCCACTCCACTGTCACGTTTGCGGGTGGCAGATGCGGAAGATGCCAGTCTCCGTCCCGCAAGGCTGTAAACACGCGAAGTATACTGGATTGATGTATATAGTCCCCTTTAAGTAGATCCCAAAGGGTTTTGGGGTTTAGGGTTGAGGGGTGTAGGGGTGTGATCCCCCTTCAGTAGATAGAATATGGAGCATATGGGGATCTTATGATAATATACCCAATGCCATATTCTATCTACTTAAGGGGGACTATCAGCACCTCCTGCTGCAGCATTGTAGACTGGACTGTTGTAGTTCTGCATTTTGCAAATTCAGGTCATTGTGCAAGGAGCCCAGCTGCCCCAATCATCAACACGAGAGAGGCTGCTGGGCATGGATCGCCGATCACCAGATTTCACCATGTCTACATCCCGAAATGGGGTTATATGGGGATTATCGGGTGTATAATGGGCTTAGATAGGTATAGGGTACATAACCCTTCGCCTGATTTCATCACAGGATTTCAAAGTTCATTTGCCACAAAAAACTAGACTTGACAAGGCTCATCCTGAGCCTAGTCCTCAAACCTCAGAATTCGTGAGCAGCTCCCGACTGAGCCTGCTCAAAAAACCGGCATAGGTCGGGGTCTCCGGCTCCTAAATGAACTATAATCTAAACTCCTAGCATCCCCCTTAATAGACCCTATAGTAGTCCCCTATATAATCCCTTATATAACCCCCTTTAAGGAGTTTAGACTATGGCTCAAATGACAACAGAATGAAGGCTGTGATCAGCTCTTCCCTACAAAAACAGCTCTTCCTATCAGGTGTCCAACGCATGGAAGAAGTCAAAGGCTCATGGCTGTGGAGGATCAGATTCAAACTCAGGGTTTAGGGTTTAGGGCTTAGGGGTTTAGGGCGTAGGGTTTACGGATTAGGGTTCAGTTATGGCACAGCCAGAGAACGCAGAAATGAGTGAGCGCGGTGGGGAAACATCTAGTTCAGTGCTGGGATCTTCGTGCACCTTGGCTATGATCCGATGTGAGCTATCCTCCTCCCCACCACCTTTGAACAAGAATTTGTGCTTTAAAGACTTTAGGCCAGTCTTAGTCCTACAGTCTTCGTACCGGCCTTAGCATGGGGTAAGTCCATATTCATAAACAGAATCCGCGGCCTTAAGCCCGACCCAAATGCAACAACCCGTGGCTTCCCACAATTTCCAGCAATGACCTCTCTTTGATAAGGATATGCATATATATATATACATAACATTGGGATACTAAGGGCTTCTGGGGGGGGATGACACTGGGACATATAGGGATCCTTATTCTGAGGAGGGGGGGGGGGCAAGGGTGTGAAGGCAGATGCCACATGAAATTTTGCCAAAGTTAATATGAGCTCTTGGTTTAGGGTTTAGGGTTTATGGTTTAAGTGAGTTTCCATTCTAACACAGCCCCTAATATCCAGGGAAGCCATAGAGGAACAGGTTCATCTGTATATATATATATATGCATATGTATATCCCTGTCCAACCCCTATATCTCCCAACATACTCCCAACATATCTCTATGGAATCCGTGTTTTTCTTAACATAATCCCTACATATACCTAACAAACCTCTGAGAGGATCTAAAAACAAAGCCCTGTACGCGCCCACAAGAATCTTTACAGCATCCCTATGTACTTTCACACATTGTTCTGGGGGATCCTTAACCCTAAACCCTAAACCCTACACCCTACATCCTAAACCCAGCACCCTAAAGCCTAAACCCTAAACCGTAAATCAAACACCCTAAATCCTAAACCCTAATTACACTCTTTCGGTTTTCTGGAACCCTCGAAAGCCTGGCTGTGGTGCAAAAGCATCCTGGACAGCACGAAGAGCTGCTAAGCCTTGCGAGCTGAGCTATAATCTAGGGATTTCGGGATTTAGGGTATAAGGTTTAGGGCCTATACTCCTAGTATCCCCCTGAACACAGGTCTGGGGTGTAGGAGTGAGAGTGTAGGGTCTAAACTCTCAGTATCCCCCTTAATGCGGGTCTAGGGTTTAGGGTCTAAACTCCTTGTTTCTCAGTTAATAAATCCTATGGTCGTCCCCTGTATAGTCTCCTAAATATCCCCTCCTGAAGGAGTTTAGACTATAGCTCATTTGGGTCGCGCTTTGTGCCTTTGGGGCCTCAGCTATAGGGCTATAGAGTTAGACCAGGTTATATAAGGGTTATACTATCTAATCCGAGGGTATGATGGGGTATGTAGGGATATTACCGAAATAATGGAGAATCAAATGGAAAGGACAATGGAAAATGATAAGGAAACTGGGGTGACATAATATGGTCAGTGGTTTACCGGGATTGGAGGGTCCAGAGATTAGGTGCTCTTTTGTGGGAGTCCCTATAAAAAGAATGATAATGTATAATGTATCAGTGTCTATATTCGGAGCCCCCTAGCACTTCTCAGAGGCATAAGTTCAATGTTCCGGGCCTTTTCTGTTTTTCAGATTCCATCTACAGAAGAACGACTGCAGGTCTTTGACGTTTTTCTGTTAAGCGCCCCTTTTGACCCACCTATCCAGGCGTCAAAGCTCCTCTTGGAGCGGGCGGTCCAAGCCCTTCATTCCTCATTCCCAGCAGGTCTTGCACGGTTTAGGGTTTAGGGTTTAGGGTGTGGGGTTTCGGTTTAGGGACTAGACTGGCTGCTCAATGCAAAAAAAGCCCAGCCCGAGATGACTTACGGATTTTACCGCATCCCTATGTCTAGGTCTAGGTGTTGCTTCTAACAAGTTTTGACGGGTGGAGTATAGGTGTCTTAACAGACCCTTGTCAGAATACTTCCAGCTATGAGGCAAGAGGCCAAGCATAGGACCGTATGGAACCATACGGGAATTCCGATGAGGACTGTATGTGAAATCTGGTTGCATACTACCTTGCTTACATGGATACTAAAATGAAATACTAAAATGAAACTTGTAAGAATCCTCCACTGTGCAAGAACTTCCTCGGGAGAAAAGGACGCCTGGCTCGGAATCCACCCTAAACTGTGAACCTAAATCCAACACCCTAAACCTTTAACCTTAAACCCTAAATCCTAAACCCTCAACCTTTCAAACTAAACCCTATAAACCCTAAGCCCCCGCAAGTTGCAGCCTTCTGGATCAATCTCGGACCTTGGCAGCAAACAGGTGGAAGACCGAAATGCCAGCAAGATACCTTTAAAGGGGATATAGGGGTTATATAGGGTTTACATAGGGTTTAGGATTTAGGGTTCAGGGTGTGGGGTTTCCGGACATGTGCGGTCCCTTTTAAGGTGTACCCAGAATCAAGGTGATAGTTTTTGGGTGTCGATGTTGGGTCGCCCCATTTATGGAACGACTATGTCAGCTCTTATGCAAGGAAGAGTGAAAATGATTCGCCGTCCACATCAGAAGTAAACCAGAACGCAACTTATTCAAACCTCATCCTGTCCTGTGCTGCTACGGTTAATTATCGTTGATGAAAGAAACCCTGCATGACCTCAATCAACATACCATAATAGCAGACTTCCCAAGATGCTTTGGTACTGAGGGCCATCCAGGATTTTTAGTATCAACCGTATCGGACTTCTTCCCTTCTGAACTCTTTGAAAACGAGCTTGGGACCTTTCAACTGCCTGGTTTCGGGTGGCTGTTTTCTGCTTAGGCACATGAAGAATGACTGTGTGTTGAAACCAGAAATACCAAACCTGCGCGGTGAGCCCTGACTTTAGAAGCCAAATTTCATTTCTTGTTAGGCTACCACTGGAGGGTCCCAAAAAGGGGCATGCTTCCAACTGTGCCGCCTTTCGGGAACCATGCGTGTCCGCTCATTCCCTACCCAGACCCCCTAAAGGATCCAAAAAATGGAACCCCCCCAATATGAACCCATTACTACATTGGGGCAACTAGGGGATTGTTAGGGGGTTCTTTAGGGGGTCTGGGTATTCGATTCAATCAATGAAAGCCGCTCAGAGTTGCTGGCTTCATGCTTCCTCCGCTTCTGGTCTTGGAGGAGCGCGTCTTTCCTGCACAGTCATGCTCCCCCCACCCCTGACCCTGTACAGTCCCTGAAAAGGGCTTATAGGGGTGCGTAATATAAGGCTAAATGGAGGAAAAAAACACGGAAGCTACAAGATTATTCAGTGCTTGAAACTTGTGGGACGCTCCAATGCTGCACCTCCACTTATTTACAATCCTTGAGATCTTGCATGGATTACCCCAACCAGTTTTTAAGCATAACCAGGCACAGCCGGAGCTGAAACCTACAAATTCAGATATTGGGTCAGATGCTTGCATTCACTGGCTGGATCTCACAAGGCTTTCTTCTGGGTTGCTGTTACGGAAGCTGAATTAAGTTCCCAAAGTAGGTTTATAAATATGTGTATATGTATATATATATATGTATATATATATGTATATATATACAGGCATTAATACGGTTTCCCCAATATAGCAACTTAGATTAAGTTCTTTAACAGCAATCCAGTCTTCCAGGCCTCTAAAGAGCCACAACGATGAATCCAGAACATCTCTGAAAGCTGAAGCAGCATTTACAGACGCATGCCGACTTGCAATCCAAACGCGGTACCAAAACCCATCACAACCGGCAGCAAAGTACCCTGGCCAAGAAATCATGTGAAACAACTCCCAATTGATGTTCAGCCTGTGCAGGTTTGAAAACAGGAAACTGCCAGTCACCACCGTAGCATGCACCAGCTCATGACCTGGCAATTCCACAGATACCTCGAGTGGAGGACACAACTTGCAGGGGCCTGGGTGCGGGCTTGTGCGCGGTGGAGTCCAGCCTCAAGTGCAGCTCAGTGCGCAACCCTCTGAAATGTCACACCAGCAGCACTATTGCTGGTGCCACTGCTATTGAGCATTTATCTACTTCTGAATCTTACCTCAGGTCTTGCTCTATTGCCACTACTTCTGCTAGTACTAGAATTGGCTGAGAGACTGATGTGGTGTTGCTTGTCGCACTGCTTTTCTGATGAGCTCGCTACTGAAAGTGAAATTGTACGACATCATCATGATGAGGTCGTTGATCATTCGTTAATTCTTTCAAGCGCTGCAGAGAGTCTGCAATGTGCTGCTATGTCCCACTTTGTGGGACCAGGCTGTTCCTTTCCCCTACTGGCTCCTGCCTTTAGGCCACATAAGCAAGCCACTGCACCTATGCAGCATGCAAATGAAGGAAAGACTGCTTGAACTGCCTTCTTCAAGAGCCTTTGTTCATGTTGATAAGGATGACAAAATGACGATGATGATGACGATGATGATGATGATGATGATGATGATTGCTATTTCTTGATGCTTATTGTGATGACGGCAATCGGCCATGGCAAATGACGGCGACGATAGCGATGACAGCGCTTCGAAGAACTCACCCTCCTGATCACCCACCAGCGCCATCATCCTTGATGAAAATGGAAACGCCTTAGGTGGAACCCCCCCCACCCTGTAACACTGTAACGGGCCCTACACCCTAAATCCTCAACCCTAAACCCTAAACCTGAAACCCTAAATCCATGACCCCAATATAATCACCATAATCCTCTATGCTCTCTATTACTGGGTGGGGGAATCCACCTACGGAAGGCCACCGTTTGCAGCGGCCTGGGTTCGATTAGGTTTTAGGGTTTAGGGGTTTAGGATTTAGGGTTTAGGATTTAGGGTTTAGGATCTAGGTTTTAGGGTTCTGGGTTTAGGATCTGGGGTTTAGGATTTCGGGTTAAGGATTTAGGGCCTAGGGTTTAGGATCACCCTAATCATGGAGCATCATATGTAAGAGAGAATGGAAAATGAAACGGAACTGGTATTATATCATAGCGGCTTATGATGGTTCATGGGGGTGAGTGTTGCCTCAAAACTCTAAAACCATGCAAGCCTCGGAAAAGACATGTCTTTTTATTGGGGATGCCCTTTTGGGGGTCCCTATAATATGAGTTGTAGTATATTGAGGCCCCCTACTTATGGAAACTTCTTGTTACCTGTACCATTTCCACATTGCAGAAAACCCTTGGCCCATTACGTGCCTTCTGACGTCCATTGCTGAGGGCTCAGCATGTCTCGTCGACCGTAGATCTCAGGGGCTCGGCTGGCACTCTAAACCCCAAACCCTAAACTGGGTTGCTGTTGAGGAACTCAAATTCAGCTACTGTAACGGAATAATGGGTATGCATATGGTAACGAATATGGTTTCCTCAATCTAGTAACTTGAGCTGAGTTCCTTAACAGCAACCCAGGAAATCGTGCTTATCTGGGGAGATTAGAAGGTATGTAGGGCTATGTCAGACTTGAATGGGGGAACTACCCACCTCCCAACAGATTCTAAGTACCTATATATGGGATACTATCCCAAACCATACTACTAAGTCATAATATAGAAATTCTCCTTGGTACCATATAAATACTTAGGATCCTTCGGGCCTGAAATTTCATTCCCTCGGAATGAACCGGCCCCTCCCCTCCCTAAATGGCAGACGCCCGTGAAACAAATATATTGGAAGTAGAGGGGAGGATCTTGAAGTGTTGAACTCCAAAATCGTAAAGACTCTGGGCCCCAGGTCCTTCTTGCGGGGTGGGTCTTGCTACACCCAAACCCTAAATCCTAAACTCCTTATCAACAAGCCAAGCGCGACACCACTCGGCCGCAGCGGCGGTGAGAAGTTGGGATTCTGTGGGTTTTCCTTAGCTTGGCAGATTTAAGGTTTAGGGCTTATAGGGTTTTAGGGTTTAGAGATTATAGGGTTTAAAGGGTTTATAGGGTTTTAAGGGTTTAGAGGGTTTAGGGTTATAGGGTTTATAAGGTTTTTATTGTTTATAGGGTTTAGGGTTCGGGGTTTAGGGTTTCCAGGATGGGTTAGGGGACCTTTCAGGCCCCTTAATCTACCCCAATTAGGATCCTAACAGGGAATCTCATGGTCTAATAGCCCATACTGGTACCCAGACCCGTGGGAAGATCTAGAAAGTGGAACCTCCAATATGATACTCTATAATTACGACTATTGAGAGATTCATAGGGACCCTTAAGGGGGTTTCTAGATCCGCCCAGGGTCTTGGTTAGGGAGCCTTGAGGGGTCGTAGGGAGGTCAATCAGGACCCCATGTAATCCCACATGTGCCTACATTTCCTGGAAGCCCCTTTCTAGAGAATCTCTCACACACCCCCGATGCCTTAACACTACATGGGCGACTCTCAACGTTGAGTACAAACATGAAATGAGGTTTTTTGCGTCCATCCCTGCTATCCGTAAACCCTAAACCCCCTAACCCCTACACCCTAAACACCTAAACCTTTAACCGCGTGGCTATCATGAACACCATCAAGCCGAACCCAGCCGGGCTGCTGTTAGGGAACTTAGGATAAGTTAAAATAATGAGTAGAATTCTAGGGTTTAGGGTTTCCTGATTACAGTAACTTAACGTAAGTTCCTTAACAGCAACCCAGTCAGAAATCTCACACTCTTAGCAGCCCACCTTTTGGTGCTTGTTCTGTCATTTGGTATCCGCTACATGTCCCCGCGCTAACATGGAATCCCACTATGGACCTATAAAATCAGTGGTTTAAGCAGAGGGCTATGTAGGCTTTCACGTCTTTGTTAGGGAAGCATGACCAAACAGGAAATACACAAGAAATTCCAGAAAGTAAAGCTTGAATATCAGCCGTGCTTCTGGGCCGTAATGCCGTGGAGTCATCACCATGGTGCCAACCTTTTACGCTCAGTTGGATTAAGGGCTTAATTAAGGCTTCGGGCCTAGGACAGTGCAAGGTTTACTGGTTTCGATTGAACCCAAAGGGTCCTAAGTATCTATATAGTACAAAGTATAGGGCTCCTATACCATGAGTTAATAGTATCGTTGGGGATAGTATCCCGTATATAGGTACTCAGGATCCTTTGGGGAAGGGCTTGGGCTGAGTTCTGAGTTCCACCGTTGCTGGCTCAGCGAAGGAAAGGCCCAAGTATAGCACAGACACCCCCGAACATCCTAGACCATATAGCCCTAATTCCTGTGCAAATCCTAAATCCTAAGCCCTAACTCCTGCAAACCCTCAGCCCAAACCCTTTTCCGCATGGTCCAGGATAGGAGGGATTGTTGTTGCAAGGCTGGCCAGGATTTGGGCCAACCAAACTACACCCTAAACCCAAACGGCTTGGGTTAGGGGCTTAGGATTTGATTGTTATAGTTCAGATTTTTGGTTTAGGGGATTACTTACGCTTGAGTTTAGGGTCAAAGGCTTCGGCTTAGGGGGTTGAAACCTGGGTTTCAACAATAGATACCTAGAACAACCTAAAGCACAAGGAGCAAAGATGAAGAAACCAATGTATAAGGTACACAACGGTTTTCATAGGGTACGCCAGACCCTAAAGCGCTACCCTAAGTAAGCACGGTATACGGTTTAGGCGGCATGGTCAAGATTGGACCTCAGAGCGCTAGGAAAGCTGGAGGAAACCAGAGGCCTGTTCCGGCTCTAGGCCCAAAAAATCCAATGTCCCTTAACTAGAGAATATACCCTTGGGACAAGTAGGTTTTACTGGGAGGTTCCAGTAATGTTTAATGAGGGGGTCTGGGTAGGGATAGCAACTAAAACATGGGCGCGTACGCACTGTGGGCTATAGAAGGTTTGGGCTCAGAGCTTAGGGCTCATAATTATTTGTCTAGGTTGAAACCATAGGTCCATGGTATGGGCCCTAACCTTGGATCCTTGTATACCTCCTATATACACTATATGTACCCTTAAGGGGCCCTAGAATTCCCCCTAAATGGCCTAAGGGCGCATATTAGGGGCCCATACTTCTAACCTTGGATTTTGAGACATTCACATTAGGGAGTTTGTCCACAGGAATCATTTTATAGAATCCCATGTTGTTTCCTTGGGGTCTCTAGGGCTCTCCAATTTGATAAACTTCCATCGGGGGTTTCGGGCACTTGGTAATGATAAGAATTGCCCAGCCCTTTAAATCAGGAACCCCTCATATTGATACTTACATTTCAGAGTTATAAGGCCCTTATTAAAACAGTCTGCGTTTACGCTTTTGAATCATGTGTTAAAACCACAGCAGGCGGCATACTCACACATCTGCAAATTCAAGGGCGGCTCCCACGGGGCCCACACTTGCATCCAATGGAAGGCGTCTGGGATCTTGGCCGCGTAGGGAGAGCTGGCAGGCTCCAACAACGAGTAGCCTTCGCTCCGTAGCTGCAGGGCGTCCCTGTATCCATCCGGGAGATCTCTGTAGCGCTTGAAGTCAGTCACCAGCCTTGCGGGCGTCTTGCGGGCTGTCCGTGTGGCGGCATGATGTGCAGACATCAGCACAAATTCGCTAGCCACCGGCTCTTTCTTCCGCATAAGCATCCACGTCAGGTCCGTGACCTTCTCAAGGAGTTCCCAAACGATCCAGGAAGCCATATAGTATATAATTGGACCCTAAAGTAATTACATGGGAACCCTTTGGTCCTTAAGTATATACTATATATGACTACATGGCTACATGGACCCATTGGGTTCGCGCTGCAACTGGACTACATCTCCTATACCTTGGGTTGGGCCCCCACCCACTACTAGTGGTATACTAGGAATATGTAAGGACCTTAATATAATTGCCATTACCTCTTGTGGTCACTATTACTGGGTGGGGGCCCAACCTAACCTATACCGGAGTGGGGGGGGGTGAATCGGCACGCACAGGATGATCCCTCACTGCAAATGAAATTTTGGTCGGTTGCGAGTCGTGAGAAACATTCGGAATTCTGCCCTGAGAGCCTAGCCCATGAACCCCTAATACCTGAACCTGAAACTTTCCTAAGCCCCAAACCAGAAACCTTACTACAGGTACTTGAACCCTTCGTAGCTAGCGCAGATAGAGGAAAGCTTGCACTCTTCCCAGACAGCTCAGACCCTATTACAGCATCATGGAGGCCCCAGGTGGTGTTAGGCTTCGGGGTTCCCCGAATTGGGGGTCCCTTGTGCATATCCCCCGAACACACCATGTAGCATCATGTTTTGAATCCTTATTTCCTCCATCCACCGCCAGAACCTAGACCCTGAACCCCCCAAAACCCTCAACCCTAAACCCAACGCCACGAACCCCTACGCCCTAAACCTGAGCTCCTAAACCTTTACGCCCTAAGCCCGCAAACCCCCAAACCTAAACGCAAACCCCAAATCCCAAAACCCTCAAGCCCCACCCCTCAAACCCCTACGTCCTAAACTACCACGCTCCCTAGACCCTGAACCCCCTCAAACCCTAATCCGGTGGGTCCATCATGCGATAGGCATACATTTTCGGATTCTTATACTATGAATCGTTAGGTTTTTACTTTGAGCCCTTAAGGCACAGATGGGCAAGGCAAGGTGACCCGACACCCCATGACCCTAAACCCTGTCACCCTGTAAACCTTAAACCTTGGTATCCCTAGAGCACCCCTTTTAAACCCAACAGCCTAGACCCTGAAGTCATTTAAATCCTAAATTCCAAACCTTAAACCGCATATCCCTATAACCCAAAATCCAGATATCCCTAAGGAAACCCCGTCAAACCCTAAGGACCATTCCAATTTTCCGTACCATAACCCCAATATCGACCCTATTGTGAAGTAGTAGTTTCCATGTTCTTTTCCATTATCCCATGAAAACCAATCTATTCCAGGTAGCCCTAAACCCTAAAAGCTAAACCTTGAACCCAAAATCCTGAATCATAAACCCTAAACCTTTCCCTAAACCCTAAACTCTTCTAACTCAACATGAAACCCAGAATCTTAAACCCCAAGCCTCAAACCCTAAACCCTAAACTCCTTCCCTAAGGGTCCAAGCACCTAATAATCATATACTTACCCAAAACCTGTACTACAATTACTATTACCCAAAACCCAAGTACGAAATTATTGGGTACATGGACCCCAAAACCCTAAACCCTAAACCCCATATACCCTTATAAGCACCTATATATCCCCTTTAAAGGGACCTAAATTATTGGGTACATGGACCCTCTGGGTTTTAACTCAACATCTTCCAGGTAGCAATGGGGCCCATGGTCTTGTGAGTCTGGGTGGGCGCCAGGCTTGGGCTCGAGAAAGCGCGGCCTGAGGTGAAGTCTTTAGGATTTAGGGTTTAGGGTTTAAGGTTTAGGGTTTAGGGTTTAGGAGTTTCAGGGTTTAAGCTTTAGGGTTTTAGGGTTTAAGGTTTAGGGTTTTAGGGTTTATGAGTTGCAGGGTTTTAAGGTTTAGGGTTTTAGGGTTTCAGGGTTTAAGGTTTGGGGTTTAGGAGTTTAGGGGTTGAAAGGTTTCAGGGTTTAAAGTTTAGGGCTTAGGAGGAGTTTTAGGGTTTAATTTTAGGGTTTAGGGTTTAGGAATTAAGGGTGTTTTGGGGTTTGGGGGTTTGAGGTGTTCAGGTTCAGGGTCCAGGGCTTATAGAGTTTAGAGGTTTAGGGGCCTCCGGCTTAGGATTTAGGGCTTCGGATTCAGGAAGTAGGGCTTCAGGATGTGGTGTGTAGGATCTACGTTTGTACTGTTTGGGAACCTAAACCCTAAACCCTAAACCGTTTGTAGGGTTTAGGGCTTATGTCTCAGGGTTGGGGTTTTGTGGAGGCCGAATAGGAGTTTGGGGTTTTTTAAATATCGGTACAGGGGGTGTTGTCAAGATTCTGGAAGCTTTCGGGCCCTACACTATTTATTCGCCGAGGCATCCAGCCTCAGGGCGTTCAGATCCCTTTAAACACACCCCCCCGCAGGCCCCGGAGGCGCTGGAGCCCCCTGGAGCCCCCTGGAGGCCCCTGGAGGCCCCTGGAGGCTTTTGGAGCCCCCCTAGACGGCGTGGAGCCTACAAAACCCCACATGCATGGAGTAACATCTACAGACCCCAACATATACTATGGCTTACAATATACACAATGATGGGTTTCGCGTTTTGGGTACACGTAATGGGGATTTGCGGTGGATTATGACAAGAACACTGTTGCGAGATACGAGGAGTTTTAGCTACCGTTCTGTGGCTAGACCCCAATATGCATTTAG